CTCTAGAACAGGAGGAACTTGAAGAGATTCTGACCAGGTTGAGTTGCTTTGCACCCTGCTCTGGAATAGGAGGAAGGGAAAGAAAGTTGGTTTGTCTTTCTTCTGCAGTAGAAGTGACCTGGCTTCACTGACTCAGGAACTCATTCATACTCAGAGCACACAACTGGTCTTATCAAGAACCCACTCAGCAACCATCAGATGTTATCACCTTGATGAAAGTTTAGGGGTGAGGCTTGTGGGAGGTTTGGCTGAGAGTTCAGGAATCCCCTGTGAAAAAGAGATGAGTGACCAGGCTCTGGGAATGATGGGGGATAGTCCAAATTCGTGAACCTACCGACTGCCTCCCAAATCTTCAGGTACTACAGCTCTTGGAGGTGCTATAGAATTTCAAGGACAATTAGAAGACCCAAAAGATTTTCTTCCCTAGCCTGTTCAGAGAGGCTGCTATTGGATCATAGACTCTTAGGCTCATAGACTAAGAACTGGAAGGGGCCTCCAAGGTCTTCGAGTCCATCTTCATGTGTTTATTTTCTTATTTCAAAAGAGAAAACAGAGACCTAGAAAAGTGAAGGGACTATACAAGATTACATAGATCTAAAAAAAATGACAAAGTCAACATTTGAACTCAGGTCTTCTGACTACAAATCCAGTGTTCTTTCTTCCTGTACCATATTGCCTGTCATTGGATTAATCTGGTTCCTTTGGGGGGTAAAGTGGTTGTGAAGACACAACTATCAACATTTTCAAATAACTTGTATCAAGAGACTAAGTGCATGGTTCTATCTAAAGATGTGTGCCCTGAGCTCTGAGACCTTGCCATCCAAACAAGACCTCTGAGACCCAGCTCTGGCTAGGTGAAGCTATGAATGGTTGCTAGTGTGGGGGCTGAAAGGAAGCAGAGGAGAAGGGAGATGGTATCCCCTCAAACTCCATCTACTTGTTTAGACTGAGAGGCAGTATGGAGCAATGGAAAGAATGTTGGCCGAGGTGGAGGAATGACTTCTTGTCCCAAATCTACCATTCGATTGCTGTGGGACCTGGAGCAAATATGTCTTCTGTTTTCCCCTCTGCAAAATGAGAGGGTTCAATCAATCAGCAAGCATTTGCTAATCATTGAGTATATGCCAGGCACCTTGCTAAGCCCTGGGGATACAGAGAAAAGGCAAAAAGGCAGAATCAGTCCCTGCCTGCAAGGGTATTATATTTGAATGAGGGAGCCAACAAGGATGTATATACTTATATATAAGATACAGGCAAAGTAACCTCACAGGGGAAGGCACCAGCAATGAGAGTAATACCGAAAGCCTCTAGTAGAACATGATGCTTGAAGGAAACCAGGAATTCTAAGAGGAAAGGGGTGAGGAAGGAGAGCACACCAGGCTTTGGGGAGAGTCAGTGAAAAGGCATGGAGATGTGTTGGTTGCAGAACACATAGACCAGTGTGACTGCCATATAGCAACCAGGTTGTGAAAAACTTTCAATGCCAAACAGTGGAGTGACAGAAGGTTACTAGAATTTATTTAAGAGGAGGGTGACATAGTCAGGCCTGTGCTTTAGGAAAATCATATTGGCTTCTGCATAGAGAATGGATTGGAGTTGAAGGAAATGAGAGAGAGAGAGAGAGAGAGATGGACTGACTGAGAGGCGATTGCAGTGGCCCAAGTGAGAGGTGATGAGGGCCTGAACTAATACAGCAGTTATGTGAGTGAAGAAGGGAACACGTGTGAAAGATGTTGGGAAGGTAGAAATGATAAGATTTGGCCATGGATTATACATGTAGAGGACATGAGAGTAGAGTTGAGGATGATACTGATGTTGAGAACCAGGGTGACTCTAAGGATGGTGGGCCCTTGACAGTAGTAAGAAAGAAAAGGGGTAGATTTTGGGGAAAAGATAATGAGGTCTGTAATGGATATAATGAATCTGAGATATCTTTGACATCCAGTTAAAAGTGCCCAATGAGCAGTTTGTGATGCGGGACTGGAGCTCAGGAGAGAGATTAAGGGCTGGATGTATAAATCTGTGAGTCATCTACATAGGGTTGATGATTAAAGCCAGGGGAGCTGATGAGATTGCTAAGTGAGAGTTTGGAGAGCAAACAGTCCAGTACAGAGCTTCAGGGATATCTGCAGTTAATGCACATGACACGGGTGAGATTCAGCAGAAGAGATTGAGAAGGAACAATCACACAGGTAGCATGAAAACCAGGAGAGAAAACCCAGAGAGGAGAGAGGATCCAGGAGGAGAAAGTGGTAAACAGTGCCAAATGCTGCAAAGAGATGAACAAGAATGAGGCCCCACAACAGGTGATTAGATTTGGCCCTGAAGAAGTCACTGGTAACTTTGGAGAAGGTGGTTTCTTGGAGTTGCGAGGTTGAGAGCCAGATTGTAGAGATGCAGAAAGACTGAGGAGAGGAAATGAAAGCATTGAGTATGGATGGCCTTTTAAAGAATTCAGCTGAGGAGAGGAGAGAGAGAGAGAGAATAATAGAGAATAGGAGATGGTGAAATTTCATAAGGGTTTTTGGTTTTGTTTTTAAAGGATGGAGGACTCAAAAGTTCCTTCCAGCCTTGATCCTATAGTTGAAACAGATCCAACGGAAAGATTCAGGGCAGAATTATTACCAGGCCACGCTATTCAGCGGGGAGGTAGTGGTGAGAGAGGGAGACAAACAATAGGTACATTTCTCCTGGCTCCCATAACCCAAGTTAAACAGGACTTTTATCTGTGGATGAGTTGGGCTAATCAAATTCTGCAGGTGTGAGAGAGAACTTGCCCCCATTTGCTTTAGATTGTTTTAAAGGTGTCCGCAAGAGAGGATTTCTTATTTGAGCTGGAAGATCTTAATCTTTTTAGTTTTTTACATATGGTTGGCCTGGCTCCCCAACAGAAATTGGGTCACTTTAGGTCTCCACTAGACATTAGCTCCTTCTACCTCCTTGTTAAGTAATGTGTTCTCTTCCCTTGGGGGTATTTCAGGGTTAGGTGGGTGGCCTGCTGGGTAATCGGTCCTTTCCTGAAACAACAGGGCCTATGTCCGGACTGCATTCATCACCCAACCTCCTGGCAAGCCCTGCTGCCTGGTTCCCAGTGGTCCAGCCTTCCAGCCAAAGGGCACCATACCCAGCCAAAGGAGAAGGCAGCCCTGTAGAACTCAGAGCTAATGAAAGGAAAACTGGGTTCCTGTTGCAGACATCCCTGGTCCATAGAGAACGACACAGTGGAGCTGCTTCTTGGGGAGCCGGAGGATCAGGGCCTGCAGCCCCCACTTTCCCCTCCCCCATAACCTGAGTTATGTGGGCACTGGTTCCCAGCCAATGGAAGGTCAAGAAACCTGCCTTTGTTCAAAGAAGACATCAGGCTTCAGCAGAGAGCCCCTGGCAGGGAGGGAAGCAGGTGCTGTGGGAGCAGCCGGCTGTTTATCCAGCAGCCCTTGTAACTCCAGTTAATTATTGATGGGACTTCAAGAGGAGGGATGAGAAGGGGGTAATTTATTCCCGTTGGGAAAAGAAACAAGGGAGCAAATAGCAGGTTATGGTCTAAATCTGAACAGGAAGCTGCTCGAAGGTTAGAATTGGAGAGCTGAGGAATCGGGGGCTTGGCTGTGACATCCTGTTCTTCTGCTCTGCTGCCAGCACCAATCTGTGCTGCTCAGATGACCAGCGCTTAATTGATCGAGCTGAGCCGAGGGCCGCCATCCCCGTGTGAACCAGTTGGCTCTGATATGGCTGAGCCAGTGGGGTGGAGGACCAGCCTTAGAGTCAGGAAGACCTGCGTTCAATTCCTGTCTCTGACCCATTCTCTTAGTGCCCCCAGACAACTCTCTGTAATTTACAGAAGAATTATCCATCTGGATTGGTGGAGGGAGTTCTCATTCTGTGACCATTCCTGAACCACTCCCTCCATGGCTCCATAAAGATGATGATGATGAGGAGGAGGAGGAGGAGGAGAACAGCTCACAATTCCCTGGTGATTTGAAGTTTTCAAAGTACTTTCCTCATAATAACCCTGTAAAGTAGCTAGTGTGCCTAGAGGGGTAGCCCATTTCTCAGATGAGAAAAGTAAGCCACAAAAGTGCTAAGAATGGCTTGCTCAAGGTCACACAGCTAATAAAGGTTGGAGTGGAACTCCAACCCAGATCTCCTGATTCCAGTCTAGGCCTAGCGCTCTTTGTATTCCTCAGGGCCTACTTCTGCGTGTCCTCATTCACAAGGATGAGTCAAGTATTAAGGATGAGCATGTATTAAGCACCTACTATATGTTAGGCTCTGTGGTAAGTGTTAGGGATACAAAGACAAAAGTGAAATAGGGCTCAGCCCTGCCCTCAACCAGCTTATGCTTTAACATGTAAGTATAGGCAAACTTTATGCATAATGAATGCTAGGTAGTTTGGGGAGGGAGGGAGGGCAGTACCAAAAATAAGCAACTCACAATGAGGAAGGCAAGGGCAGGGAACAGAGCCCCAGGAGTGAGGGGACCAGGAGGACCTGACCCCCCCACTAACTTGCTCTTTGCCCTTTGGAAAGCCCTTAATTTTCACTTTCTTTGGAGCTCTTAAGTCTCACTCAGCTCTGCCCTTCAGAAGTTCTGTTACTCGGACAATATCCCTGTTACTGGGAGGAGAAAAGATATCTCCAAGTCTGTCGGTTAGGTTGGATTAACCACTGGCCTGGGAGGCAGGAGGCTCAGAGCCAAATCTCAGTGTCACCCCTGAATCACTGCGTGACCTTGAACAAGACTCTTAACCTCTGGGGCTCTCCACCATCAACATGTTGTTATACATCCTGGTCTGTTGAATCATTTGCCCTGGAGGAAAGATTTCACAAGACATTTGCAAAGACAAAATAAGACGATAACAGCAGCCCCCTTGCCTCCCCATTTTTTTTCTAAAGCTAGATTTAGTGCACAGAATCTCAGTTTGAGATATCTGCCATCGTAGGAGGAAGGGACAGGATTGGGAATGAGCAATAACTTTAACCTTTCCCTTAAATCATTTTGTAAGGAGAGTTTCTCCTCTTTAAGTCATCATGGAAATCAGTGGGTGAATTTAGAACTTCTGCCAACTAACTTTGCCAGACTACAGGACATTAGAACTGGAAGAGTTCTTAGAGGCAGCCTCCTCTAACTCTCTCGTGTTACAAAGAACCTTAGGGCCAGTGTGGGGAAGGGCCTTGGCCAAAGTGGAAAAGCTGAAGTCATCAGGAAGCCAAAGTAAAAAGCATAGAATTTTAGCTTTTCATTCTTTGAATGAAAGAGGTAAGAATTGGTTCAGAAACTTGAAGGAAAGCCTGTGCATTCATATCTCAGGTAGGGAGAGGTGCATCTCACCGTGGGCTAGAGTTTTCCATCTGCCATAGGGAAGCTGATATCTCTTAGCTCCTCTTCCAGGAAACGGGCTAAATACTCCTCGCTGTTTGTTAGGCACTGGACAATTTTGATCTTAGATAATACCAGGTATAGTGGGTTCAAGTTTCTGCTCTGCTAATGATTAGCTGGGTCAAAGGACTTGGGTTCAATTTCTGCTCCTGATTCTCATTACCCATGTGACCTTGGACAAGTCCCTTCCCCTCCCTGGGGCTCAATGAGGGGCTTCACTCAGAATGGCCAACCTGTGAGGTCCCTTCCAATTCTAACATTGCCTGAGTCTAAGCCCACTTGTGAAGGATGAAAGGGTGCTTTGAAAGATCTGAAGGTCCAAATCTCTTCTTTTCTTTTTTTCCCAATATATATTTATTTCATTAAAATTTCCCCAAATACATTTTTTAAAAATTTAACATTCATTTTTTTAAAATTTTGAGCTCCAAATTCACTTCCTGTCTTCCACCTCTCCTCCCTCCTTGAGAAGGCAAGCAATTTGATATCAATTAACCATGTGAAGTCATGCAAAAAAATTTCCATATTAGCCATACTGCAAAAGGAAACACAGACCAAAAAAGGAGAAAAATACAGAAAGTGAGAAAAGTAGGCTTCAATCTGCACTCAGAGTTCAGCAGTTCTCCTTCTGGAGGTGGATAGCATTGTTCAGGATGGGTCCTTTCGAATTGTCTTAGATTATTGTCATGATCAGAGTAGCTATCTTCTCTTCTCTTCAAGGGCTGTAGGATCATTGATTTAGAGCCGGAAGGATGCTAGATCTGGATTGAAAGGGACCTCAGAAACCATCTAGTTCAACTCCCTTCAGATAAGAAACTGAGGCCCAGGAAGGTTGAAGCATTCACCCAAGATCACACAGGTTAGGAGCAGGACTTGAACCCATGCTGGGTCCTGTGGATGTCAACTAGTCCAGGCTTCTCATTTTGCAACTGAGCAACTGGTGTAGTGAGAGAGAACTAGTTCTGGAGTCAGAAAAACTGGGTTCAACCACCTATCCCCACCCCCACTACCTGTGTGACCTAGGGAAAGTTACAACCTCTCTACACAATGATTCACTCATTTATAAAATGGGGAGAGGGATTGAAGTTGATGGTCTCTGAGGTCCCTTGTAACTCTGTGATCCTGTGACTCAAGGACCGGCGAAGTTAGATGACTAGCCCCAAATCACTAGGTAGTAGGTAGCAGAACCAGAATTCAGATTCAGGTCTTCTTAACTGAGAGTCCAATACTTTCCACTGTATCATGCAGTGTTCCTAAGGTTCGTTTCCCTTTCAGCTGAGAAGAAAGCAGAAACCTACCTGGAAGGGGAATGGCAGTATTACCCTCTGAACACACACACACATGCACATGCACATGCACACACACACACACACCTGCTCAAATACACAAGAAACTAGGATGCAATAAATTATCAGTCACCTGGGCAGGCCAAATAACTTACTCCCCACCAGGGCCTTTGATTGCCCAGAGCTGGGTCAATCCAGATGTTAATCATTAACCCTACAGAAGGTCTAAATGGAAAGGCAGATGTTTCCATGTGAAGATACCAGGCACCCAGGGGTGTTCAGGTCATAGACAGAGATGGCCCAAATCCTGATCAGAATGGGCATGAGGAGAGTGTTGCCACCGACTCTGCCTTAATTAGGGTTGAGCCACAGGCTATTTCTGTGTCTCGCCCCCCCCCAAAGCCAGACTGCCCCATGGGAGCACATTGTTGGGATGTCCACATACTGGGCCCTCCCCCCGCCTTCCCCCGCTCCATCCCCACCAATCTTTCCTGGTGTTTTCATCACTGCCCTGATGATGTGATAATATTCTTACGTGGGGAAAATAAAAGTGGCATTTGTTTAGACACAATTAATGAAATATTTATGTTGCATGAGACTGTGTGATAAAGCCCCGCGCTGGCAGAGTCCATTTGCTTCTGATTACATTTGTGATTTTTTTATATGACCAGACATTCTGACGCCAGTTCTTTTACACCGAGCAGATGTCATGTTCTAAAAATGGGTGCCAGATGCTGAGAGCCACATAAGGGTAATTTGTTTAAGAGCTGGCTTGGACTTTTTGCATTCAATTAGACTGTGCGGTGACCCTCACACAATCGTTTGAGGTACCATGGCTAACTTCAGACATTCATTTTAATAATAGATTTCATTTCTGAATGTGTTTGAAGCCCCATGATCCATAAATGGTGTTTAAGGAATTAATTGATTTCTGCATAATACCTTGTGTGTGTGTGTGTGTGTGTGTGTGTGTGTTTAAAATATGGACACCAAGAGCTGTGCAAAGCCCTTGGCCAGGGGCCAGAAATTTAATTAGCATGGGGAGCCAAATTTCAGATTACCCTTAGGTAGCTCTGCTGCTTAGGCTTAGGGCAGGTGCAGTAGGCAGGGAGGGAGAGGGAGTTTTGGGTCAAGAAATCTAGGGAAGAAATCACTTCTGCTTGATTGGGTACTTTGTTCCTATTTCAGGCTCCAAGCCCTTACCTGTCAGAGCACAGATGACTGAGTGTTATTCCTCCTTCTCCTCCTCTTCTGATACCACCTCCTCCTCAGATGGTGAATTTGAACCCAAACCTTCCTTACCACCAAAGGTAACATGCCCCTTGGCAACCAAGGGTAGGGTTGACTTTGTAGGGGGTGGCAGCTGTTGTTGACTCTTAGGAGAATTGTGAGTTTCCAACCCAGAGCATTCTCAATCTGACAGATATTTTTATTGAACAGACTTACCTGTCATAGCATCTGATGCTTAGACCTTCCTCTCCCCTTGGCAAGAGCCAAGAGCCAAGAGCCAAGAGCCATTCCTTCTCAAGAGTTGTCTTTTCATTTTCAGAATCTTTCAGGTCTCACAGATGAATCTTTTCTTTCTTTAAGAAGAACTTCATTTGAAGGAGGAGGGAAAAAAACCCCAAGACAGCAACATATTTACTTGAAACCACTTTGAAACTGCAGCTCTAAAGTGGTTTTAATATGAGGTCCAACAAGCAAACCATCGAAAAATGAAAACAAACAGATGCCTATGGCCCCAGGGGAAAACACAGCTTCATTTAAGAAGCACTAGAGGCAGATTGCATGGAAAATGTTATGTTTATTCTAATCAGAAATATTAAATGAACCATGCATTTGCATCTAGGCATTTATACTCTGAAAATGCCTACTGTGACTTGGGTTTGGAGAGGCTACTGACTATAGACATGGAGAATTTCCTCCCTGTTCTTTTACTCCAGAGAATTTGGGCCTTCTTTCTAAACTCTGATTCAAGTAAACCTCTGCCCAACCAGTGCCCTCCCTCCCAAATTTTGTCCTGTTTTTTGTTGTCCCTGTAGGCCGCTGGGGTAGGAGCCTTTCAGAGGGCCTTTGGGCCAATGGCTCAGCCTAATGTGTTTATGCTGGTGGACCAAAAAGTGGTTTCTCTGCCATTTGCTGTATTTATTTGTTGGCTCAGGGAGGTTCCCAGGGAGGAAGGAGGAGAACCAAATTTATTTACTTACAATCGTTTCTTCCACATCTGGTGATATAATCATTGGCTTATAACTTAGGGCTTCCTAACCCCACTGCCCAAGTAAGAGCAAGTCAATGACCTGGTGTGTATGTGTATGCTTATATGTGTAACAGAAAGAAAGACAGAGACTGGCAGACAGAGACACACAGAAGGACAAATAGAGGAAGGGAGGGAAGGAAAAGGAGAAAGTCAAGAGAGGAGACACAGTGAGACATGAAGAGAGACAGAGAGGGAAGGATGAAAGGAGAGCATGGAAGAGAGGTGAGATTAAAGCTGTTCCTGATTATCCGTCTCTGATTATATGTTGAAACCAAGTTTTGTGTTTTCTGTTGACTTTTACACCTTCCGTATCATCTTGTTCTTCTTTTGATGGCTTCTTCTCTCTCTCCCTTGATGTCTCCTCAATACAGACATCTCCTAAGATTCTCTCCCTAGCCCTCTTATCTTTTCTCTCTATACTGCCTCCGTTGAAGAACTTATTTATTTACGTGGCTTCAATTATCACCTCTACCTGAATGAATCTCAAATTGGACTCCCTTCTTCTCCAGCTGCCTCTTGGTCTCCACCTTGATGTCCCACCAGCACCAAAGAACTCATCATTTCCTATAGGAGCATAGGTTTAGTTCCAGAAGGTACCCTGGAGGCCATCTAGTCTAATATCCTCCTTGTACAAATGAGGTAGTTGAGGTCAAGAGACGTAAAATGACTTGACATGGGTCAACCTAGGAGGGAGTGGTAAAGCCGAGATTTAAACTCAGGTTGTGTGATTCCAGAAATGATAAGCTTTCTCTTGTATCAAGTTATCTCCCTGGAGAGATGTTAATTGACTTGTCCAAGTCCATGTCCAAGCCCTTCTCCAAGGATTAATGCTGACCACCCACAAACCTTTTGGCTGGTCATAATAACTACCATTTATATAGCACTTTAAACTTTGCAGCCTCAACACCCACCCTTGCCCCGTCATGCTGACTTTTCTATAGCTGAAACCACCATATCTTCCCAGTCACCCAATGATTGAAATCTTAGAGTCACTTTAGAATCTTCTACCTCTTTGCTTAGTTATTGAGTCCTGTAGATTCTTTCTCTGCAGTATCCTTCCCATGTGCTCCTCCTTTCCATTCCCGTGCCTGTCACCACCCTAATTCACCCGCTCGGTATCTCTTACCTAGTTTCTTCATAAAGCTATGATACAGAGGTAGGCTTTATGTGACATCTTGCAGGTATCCCATATAACATTGGAGCATTGTGGTGGAACAAGCAACCCATTTTGGTTTGGGTTCTACCCAGCACTATCCTGGTAAATGTTTAACAATGGGCTATTGAAAAAAAACGTATGAACAACACCCTTTTAATTTTAATCTGCGTTACTAACATTTTCTCCATCACATTCTTAAATCTAGACAATAAGTAAAGCAATATATCAAGACATGATTTGTAACATTTGCTGATTTGTGAAGTGCAAATGCTCAGGTTGGAAATTTAACGTATGGTTCTGGAGAGCCAGTTTGAGCTGGTTCCAGCACACCCTAGAGCTACCCTAGTTAAGCTTACAGTAAACCAGGGTGACACTTCATTTATTAATCAGTGAGGCAGGGAAATGTACAATATGTCCACTATGGCACTATATTCAAGCACTGGTCCAGTGGTCCCATCCAGGTCTCTCAGACACATACACAAGAGTGTATGTGTATGATTTTCCATCCTTCACTGCTAGATAAGACTGCTAGGTAGGATTTAAAACAAAACAAAACATTCTGGCCCGAGTCAGAACTGATCCAGGGTATGATATGACACGTGGTTCCAAAATTATTACAATTAGAAAAATATCTGGCTTGTAATGCCACCCTGCCCTGTCTCTTACATCTGAAATTTTCCTTTTCCTTTTCATAGAAAACAGATCATCCGTTTTTGATGGCCACATCATTTATTGTACATAATGAATATGAAAGAAAAACTGTCTCCAACCATTCCTAAAATTGAAACCTCTTCTCATGAGTCCCTTCAATTTTCTAAGATTATGGAAGTATTAAGGGAAGGAACGCGCCTCTGACTTCTCTCAGAGGAGAAGCTATGTGCCTTCCATCTCACCAGCTGATGAGGTTTTTAGAACTTGCTAGTTCTTGTCATTCAGGAATTCATCTCCATTCCAGTGTTTGAAGCACCTTAGCAAAGTTAATCCCTGAAGGCACTGCTTGCCTCCCTGCTCCCAGTCTGAGTCTCAGCCTTCCCACCCACTGTTTCCAGTGACCACAGGCAGAGCTTCAGGAAGGCAGTGACCAGGGTAGGCGAAGTGTTAGTCTTGATGCCATGGCCCTCCAAATCCTTGCAGCCATCATGGATAACAGGGAACCTCAGTCCCCCAGGCATCTTTCCCTTTGTTCATGTGCTCATACCTCAGATTCCACAGTCAGGAATTCTTTTGTGGGTGAAAAAGAGAAAAAGTGGGAACCTTGGAATCTAGGCAGTCACATACAGATCCCTCACCAATCTGTTCCCCCTACTGAAATTTCTGGAGAATCCCCTGGATTTTGACAGAGAAGAGACATGGTACAGGTACTGTAAAGACATCACATTAGAAGGAACTTCATGAATATCTAGTGCAATAAAACTAATTCATATAAAAAGAAAGAAACTGAAACTCTGAGGAGTATGACTTATCCAAGGTCAAAAAGAGCAAGTTAGAATCAAACTCAGTCCTAGAACAGAGGTCTCCTGACTTCCAAGCTACACCACATTCATTCCCTAACTGACCTCTTCTCCTCCGGGCTCCATGGTCTTCTTAGAGCCCAGATCTGATGGTCTCTAGTGGTCAGCATTCAGCACTTTCCTTGTTGTGGCCACAATCTGATTCCCAGTTATGGAAGATCATTGAGAGATAACATAGTATAGTGGATCTAGTACTGGGCTTGGAGCCAAGAAAAATGGGGTTCAAATCTTGCCTCAGTCATATCTGTGCAACCCTGGGTGAGTCATTAAGGCCAAACCCAGGCTTTAATTTCCTCATCTGTAAAGTAAGAGAGTTGGACCTGAAGTCCCTTCCTACTCTAAAACTATAATCCTGTGTCACTCTCCTGCTAAAAACAAACAATACAAAACATCTCCATTGGTTCCCTTTTGCCTGCAGAATAAAATTTAAACTTTTCAACCAAACTCCAAGATCTTGAAGAATTTGGTCCTAATCTACCTTTCATGCCTTTTATCTTTTTATACCCTTTCAAAAACCTTACATCCCAACCAAAACAGTTCAGTCAACTAGCATTTATTAAGCACCTACTATATGCCAGACACTGGGGATACAAAAAAAGAGGGGGAAAGAAGAAACTTCAGTCCCTACTCTCAAGGAGCTCACACTGTATTGGAGGAGACAACCTGCAAACAACTATGCACAAGAAAGTATATGCAGGATAAACTGGGGGTGATCTCAGAAGGCATTAAGATTAAGGAGGACTGGGAAAGACTTCTTGCAGAAGGTGGGATTCTAGCTGAGATGTGAAGGAAGAGCGGGAAGCTATGGGGTGGATTTGAGAAGGGAGAGCATTGGAGGCATGGAGGATAGCCAGCAAAAACTCCTGAGGTCAGGAGATGGAGTGTTGGGTGCAAGGAACAGTTTTAATCTGGTCCATTCTAATTTTTAGGGAGTGCGTTGTTTGGGCAAGGATTTGTACTTCTTTCATTCTAAGCCATTAATTCTGTCTTTCTGGTTCTTTCTTCCATAACTCTCATTTCCTTTCAGTTTTTTTCTCTAGCACTCATTTCAATTTTTTTAACATTCATTTTTTTTAAATTTTGAGTTCTAACTTCTCTCCCTCCCTCCACCTCCATCCTACCCACTGAGAAGACAAGCAATCCCCATTACACATGTAAAGTCATGCAAAACAAGCATATGCTCATTTCAATTATAGAAATATTTATAACTTTGTAAAAACTCTTCTTTCATCTCTTCTAGAAGTTCTATTTGAACCTGTGGTCCAGCTCTGTTTTTCTTTGTGGTTTTGATTGTAGATGTCATTCTCTTCTTTTGGGTTTGAGTCTTGAGTGTCAATGAAACCATAGTAGCTTTTTTAATGGTGAGATTCTTAACTTTCCCACCCC